AAGGATTGTAATGAAGATGATGGGTGTAGGAGTGTGGTTTCCCAACTCACCAGCGTGCCCAGCTTTCTCAACTAATTGTGCCTCTGAGATGCAGTATTGCCTAACGTGAGAACTTGGAATTTTGGAATTAGAGGTGAGTTCACATCCCAGATCCACTATTTCCTGCCAGTATGACCTTGGACAAGTTGCTAACCTCTCTGAGGCTGTTTCCTCATGTGTAAAATGTGAGCAGTGATACCTACTTCACAGGTTTTTGGTGCACTAAATGAGATCCTGTGTGTAAAATGCCTGGCATGTGCCTGTTGTTAGTGATAAAGTTAGTCCTTCTCAGATCTTGAGTAACAAATCAGGTCCATGTGCAGGATCCTAGCCTTTCCCCTGACGTTCTCAAAATCAGCTTATTTTCTCCTGGCCTGTGTTTTGCTGAGAATCACCCTTAACTGGATCTTTCCCCTTGCCAAGTCACTGCCCTGCCCATTTTAACGTGAGTCCTTCTTGATTCTCAAACACATTTTGAAAGCAGAGGTAAGTGCCCCAGAGTTCCCCACTTTACTCAAAGTGTGCAGGTACAGTCCGGCTTGGCAGCCTGTGTAACGAGAGTGGTGGGTAGAAGGATCAGGTTCATCTGGTGTGCTCTGGCCAAGGCTTGTGCTTACTTTGGAAGCGTGGTGAGCCAGGGACTGTGAAATCCAATTTTCTCCAACTCCTTTCCACATAGCAACCTTGTAGCAGTGAAGAAATTGGTTCTGGAACATGAAGCAGTGAGGAAATGTTGCTATTTCTTTGTTTAAAAGTGAAACCCTAAACAGGCCTTGTGTCAGCTGATTATTTCATCGTGGGACTCATAAAAAGTATTTTCATCTAAGTAGACATCACTCTATCCCATGATTGAAGCCATAGGGTCTCTGCTTAGATTTTATAGACCAGGGGTTGACACAGTTTTCCTATAAAAGGCCAGATAGTAAATATTTTAGGGTTTGGGGTCCCAATTCACCTCTGCTGTTGCGGTGCGAAGGCAGCCGCAGACAATATGTAAATGAGTGAGTGTGGCTGTGTTCCAATAGAATTTTATTTATGAAAACAGGTGGCAGCTGAATGTGGCCTGTGGGCTGTAGTCTGCCAACTGCTGCTGTAGACGTTTGAGAGGCCACTGAGGACTATGGGTGAGAGCATGAGCACTGAGTGGGGTTTGTGTGCATCCAGCCCTGCTGCTTCCTGGCTCTGGACTTAAGCGAGTTGCTTAGTAAGGGGCAGGAGCGTCTACTCTTTGGGTTCTCATGAGAGTCCAGGGAGACATGTCTCTGAGGAGTGTGGTGCAGGGCCTGGCATGTGGTGGATACCAGCTGCTGCTGCTGCTGTTACTCAGTGCCCCCTTGCCTCTGCCAGTCTCTTGATGGGAGGGGCTGTTGAGAATGATTTTAGGCACACTGAAGGCTAAAGCTAGTTGGCAGTTTATTTGCTTGTCTATTTTTCAACCACGAAGTCTAAAAGCAAAAAATATGCAGCCTTCTCTAGTTGCTGAGAAGGTCACCATTGTTGCCTGTGCTGTGGCTTTCACAGCTGAGTAGGTAAACAGTGCAACCAAGTGGGACCAGTTAGACAAGTCAAGCCAAAAATAAAGATAAGGTTAAATATCGACTTCATTAGACTCAGCTTGCCTGTTGGCTTTTATAACAAAGACTAGGCTGGTTAATGGGGATGGGCATGATCAGTAAACCCTACCTTCTCAAGGACTTGCAGTTCATTCTTCTGCAAAGCTTTCTCAACCAGCCACCTGCTCTGTGCCTGACATTGTGCTAGGTGGCAGGAGGTGCAGAGACAGGGCAGGAGGTGCAGAGACAGAACAGGAACCCTTTTCACCCTGTAAGAGCTCACAGTCTAGTCAAGTGGAGCAGAAGGAAGTGTAGATAACCACAATGCAAGGCAGAAGGGGACTGTGGCTGCCCACCACCTAACCCAGCAAAGCCAGACTTCTCCAGCATCCTTTGGTCTGCAGTCTGCTCTGCTCCAGCCTGGGCAGATTCCACTGCCTTCTTACATGCTTATTCTGAACTCATTTGACCATTCATTCATTAAAAAAGTATTTGAGTGTGTATTATGTGCCAGCAAATAAGACAAGGTCCCTGTTCTCATGGATCTTAAGGGCTAGTTGAAGAAACACAGTTATTCACAAAACAATGCTGTGAGGGTGAGAGACATAGCTGTATAAGATATAATAATAAAAAAACCGAACTAGACAAGGAGGATTTCCATGGTGTGTGTTTGTTTGTACACATGTAGGTTATTTTATACAGAAATGGGAGCAAACACTGCATACATACTGCGTCTCTCCTTCTGTCCCATTCCATTCATTCTCTTTCCTTCCCTTCCTTTCTGATGGATTCCTTTCTGAGTCCTTGTCCAATTTGAGCTATACCCGACCTGACTTAAGTATGTATTTAGGAAATAGGACCAAGCATTTTAGGGGCAAAGCATCATTAGCATGTCAATACACACAAAAAATATAGTTATGTTAAGAAAAATTAGAGGTTTCTTCCTCCTCCCTCCCCACCCCCCCAGGAGACATGGCTTCCATTTCAACTTGTAAAATTTGAAATTGTAAATTTTGTTGCAGTATTTTTCCATTTCCCTTAGAATTTCTTTTCTTCTCCCTTCCACTTTTTATTTTGAAAAATGTCAAACTTATAGTAAAGTTTGAAAGAATGAATGTTCATATTCTCTTTACCTAGATTCACCAGTTAACATTTTGCCTCATTTGCTTTCTCTCTCTCTCTACAGATTTAACCTTTTATTTTGCTGAATCATTTGACAGTAAATTTCAGGTATTATGACACTTCATTCCTAAACACTTTAGCCTGTACCTTCTAAGAACAAGGAAATTCTCTTTTCTACCCATAAGACCATTATCATACCAAAGAAATTTAATACTGGTACAATAATATATGGTCGGTATTCAAATTTCCTAACAGTTTCAAGAGAGTCCTTTATGGCTGTTTCTTTTTAATCCATGATCTAATCATGAATCATTCATTGGGTTTAGTTCTCATGTCTCTAAATCCCCTTAATCTAGGACTGTCTCCCTGCCCTTTTTTTTTTTTTTTTTTTAAATCTTTTGTAATATTCACAGTTTTGATGAATCCAGGCCAGCTGTCTTGTAGAGTGTTCTAAACATGGAGTTGTCTGATTGTTTCCTACGAGATTCAGGTTGCACATTTTAGGAAGAATATCATAGGGGATGCTGTGTCCTTCCCATTGAATCACAATCAGGAATACGGTGTAAGTTTGTCCTGTTATTGGTGGTTCTAACTTTGATTGCTTGTTATAGGTTGTATCTGCCCATTTGAGGCTATCTTCACCTGCCTCGTAATTAATAAGTAATCTGTGAAATGCTATGTTGAGAACAGTGAATATCTTGTTCCCTAACTTTTCAATGACTTTAGCATCCTTTGATGATCTTTGCTGAATCAGGTACCATATTGGTGGTTGCAAAATGATGTTTTTCTAATTCTATCATTCTTTCTACATTTATTACCAGGCATTTTTCTGTGAATGAGAGCCCTTCCTGTACTTATTTCAGTATCTTTATGGACTCATGGATTCCTTTTTTATTCATTGTGTTATGATCCATTAACTATCTTTTTCTTTTAACTAAGAACATTTTAAATTGAGGTATGATTTACACACAGCAAAATGTATAGATATTAATTGTACAATTTGATTATTTTTGACAAATACACATGCACACGTAACTCCCACCCTATAAAGATGCAGAACATATCCATCGCCACGAAAAGTTTCCCTTGGCTCCCCCAGCCCCGTGAGCAGCACTGATCTGATTTCTTCATTATTCTATTTGATGTTTAAATTGTCCCAAATGTTGGCAGTGAAAGTTCCATTAAGTTTGAGCACCTTCTTGCTTTCTAGCACAAGAAAGTATTCTGTTTTATTCTTAGTTACTATTCCTACTCCTACCACCACTACTACTGCTAATTATTATTATTATTATTGTTTTCCACCAGCTGAAACTATCTTGCGGTATGAATACTAGTTTCACCATTTCTCCATTGTGGGCTTTAGGTTGTTTCCTTTTTTATCCTGTTGCAAAAATGCTGCAGCAGACATCTTAGAACACATATTCTTGCACCACTTTTGTGAATATTTTTGTAGGCTAGAGCTCTAGCAGTGGTATTTCTAGGTCAAAGAATATGCACATTTAAGTTTTTGGTTGATATTGCTAAATTCTTCCCTCCTGTCTTAAAAAGCCTCGTTAATTGTTTCCACAAACAGCGCTGGTTTCCCAGCAGCCTTACCAACATCGAATTGTATCTGACTGTGTGTATATGGTAGAGCAGGGTTTGAATTTGGACTTATCCTCGAGCAAGGCAAATATCCAAACCATAGATCCTCCTTTTTGGTTCCAAGCCCAGTTTTGATTTGTACAGAAATGAAATCTCTCCTCAAAGGAGAGGTTAAACCCAAGGAGAAATTTTTGCCACTCTTTGTCATTCGGTGTCACATTCACCATTACACCAACTTTTGGCAGAGGATGTGCTTATGTTTTTATTCTGCGTTAACCAAACATGGGAGATAAATGAAAAGGGGGGGCATGAGGGGAATGATGACATTGCTCCTGGGGCTGCTGGTCCTCTTGAGCAGTTTTTATAAAATTGGGTTCTCAGTCACTGTTCTGTGTTTCTGCCCTTAAATAACTATTGAAACTGATATTTATTTGCAGTGAATCTGGATGATTCTACATTCAGGGTAGCGGGTTTAGCAGAACGTTTGTGAGTGCGTGTGCAATCACTCTCTGATGTCAGCTAGCAAACAAAGACTTTCTGTTTCTGTTTTATTTTAAATATTGGACCTTAGATTAAACACCTTTGTGGATGGCTTATAGCGTTCTTTTGTTTTTTGTTTTTTTTTTTCTCTTTTCAGGTTAGGAATTTGTTTGAAAGCTGTTGTCTCTTTGCTAAAGTTTCCTGGGTTGATTTTCTTTATAGGTATTTGAAGCTGTGATTTCGTGGATCAATTATGAGAAAGAAACCCGTTTAGAGCACATGGCAAAGCTGATGGAACATGTCCGTCTCCCTCTCTTGCCTAGGGATTACCTGGTTCAGGTGAGTGCTGTGCTGTGTGAAGAACCAAGTACCTCTCTGCTTACCCCAGCCTCTAGGAATAGCAGTGGGCAACCCTGGTTGTATGGGGTGCTTGAGGAGTTTTACGGGTCTTTTGTATGCATTGAGGGCACCAACCCACTGGGCTATGTGTGAGTCGTGGTAGTGTAAGGTTTAAGAGCATAGGCTTTTGAATAAGACACCGAGGTTTCAGTCCCTGCTCTACTACGTGTTAGCTTGGAGTTTTTATTTAACCTCTTCAAGCCTCAGTTTCTTCTTCCATGGAAGGGAAATTATAATAGAGCCCAGTGGGGTTGTTGTGGGGACCAAAGGAGTTACAGACAAGTCAGGTGTTTAGCATGGAGCCAGGCATAACAAACATTCGATAGAAATTAGCTGCTTTTATTGTGAAGGACCAAAGCAAGAAGGGTCATTTCCATAATGTCCCTATGTTTCTTTTCGCCTTAGTTTTAGGCAACTTGGGCCTCCATTTAGGACTATAAAAACCAGCTCCTCACAGGTGCCTGGAACACATTATATCTGCTTCCTCTGAGAACATGGTGCCATATGTTTTCTCATTTAATCCTTGTAACAACCCTGTGAGCAGAGATTATAACCTGCTTTTTACAAATTTGGGTCCTGAGGCTTATGGAGGTTGGGATTTATCTGGTGTCATCAGCTAGGAGGAGGCAGGTTCAGGATTCAAATCCAAGTCACCAGGCCCTAAAGCACACACCTTCCACTAAGCAGGCTGCTGCCTTTAATCCTCTCTGTTCTGTTTATCCATTACATGTCTTATTTTGTATAGTAAATGGCATTAGATACTTTTACAAGCAGGCAGAGGATAAAACTTTAAACGTGTGAGCAAAGCAAAATACCGAGGCAGTAGGCCAACCCTCAGCTATCCCCAAGAAGTCTCTGGAAAGAATGGAAGGTGTGAAGCAAGGATAAGAGGAGATTCAGCAGCCAGCAGCCTAGCTCGGTCCCTTCCCAGCCATCTAACACTGGGCAAATGCTCAAACTTTTTAACCCTCAGTCTTCTCATCTGGCAAAAATAGCACCTGCCCTTATAGGATTGTGAGTAGAATGAGATAATCCATGTAAAGGCTGTAATCCAGTGTTGACTGAATCCTAGTTGACATTACTACAGTCTTCATGAGCACTGCTGCCGTTGGTAGTAGTGAGAGACACAGTACCCTCACAAGTTCTTGTAAAGTCCCCAGCTCATGACACTGTTGACCACAGGCCTGAAGGGTCCCTAAAATGTTCTCTGAGTCTCTGAACCACAGCCCTCTTCTCAGGTGCTGTGCCCTGCATTTTACACTTTCGATGGTACCACTGCCACCTGGTGGCAGCATATCCTTCTTGTAGAAATGATAAAGTCCCCTAAGTGGAGGGACTGAAAGGGCCTGAGCCCCCAGTGTCAGAGACAAACCTTCCGCTGTCCTGTGGGAAACTGATCAAAGGTAGAGGTGGACATCTGGCCTCCAGTGCAGTCTTGCTTCCACAGTGGGGAAGGGCAGCTGTGGACCTGGCTTCCAGAGAAAGCTAAAGGGGCCTTAGAGACCCCTAGTTACAGCCTCTATTAGGTATCCACAATTGAACCTTAACAAAGACATTGGAACGTAGTTCCTGGGTTATTATGGCAAAGTAGGGTTTAGATCTGGAGAAGAAGGGATCAGAGGCAGTGGGCATGAGAACTGTTGTGTTGGACCCCCTTTTTTTTTTTTTTTAAAAAGGGCATTTGTCAGGCCCTTTTTTTCTTAAAAAAGGGCTCTTTTCAGAATACTCTGGAAAAGGATGCTTCATTAGCACTCTTTTGACCTTGCAACTTCAAACTAGTTTAATGTGCTAGGGATGGCTGATCACGGTGGAGGAGGAGGTGTAGAGAAAGCCCTTGGCAGACCTACTCTGACTTCTAGGGGAGGTATTTTTTTGTTTCTGTCTTTTCAATAGCTACCATTTATTAGCCTTGTATTAAATATTTAAAAATATTGTACTAAGTGTACAACATGCTATATCTTAAAATTAAAAAAAATAGGGCCGGCCCGGTGGCACAGTGGTTATGTGCGCACGTTCTGCTTCTCGGCGGCCTGGGGTTCGCTGGTTCGGATCCCAGATGTGGACATGGCACCGCTTGGCAAAAGCCATGCTGTGGTAGGCGTCCCATGTATAAAGTAGAGGAGGATGGGCATGGATGTTAGTTCAGGGCTCATCTTCCTCAGCAAAAAGAGGAGGATTAGCAGTAGTTAGCTCAGGGCTAATCTTCCTCAAAAAAAAAAAAAAAGTATGTAACATAAACTTCATCATTTTAACCATTTTTAAGTGTACAAGTTAGTGGCGTTAATTGCATTCTCCATCCTGTACAACCATCACCATATCCATTTCTAAAACTTTTTCATCTCCCTGAAGTGAAACTCTAGCCATGAAGTACTAACTCTCTGAGGGAGCTTTTCATTCAAGCTGAATGATTTCTTTGGGAAAAGTAGCTGTTCAGGCATTTCTCCTTCTTCTCAAGCTTTTTAAGAGTTCCTCTCTCACACATTTTATTTTTTTGACTGACCCTAAAAGTTTATGGTTTGTCCCAATTTGGTTCAGTCCCTCAGTGGGAGTGTAAAAAAAACCTTCCAAGAAAATGGAGTGTTCTTGGGAATCATCTCTGGGTGAAGAAGTGCCCAATTATCTCGCCGATGCTTCTTTTCCCACCAACTCTAACGCTGGCCAGCAGGTGATGGCCCTGGCCATGTTTCAATTCCTAGTTACAGGGGGGTACCCAGGAAAGGCTCAGCCAGGCCTCGTGCATGACCAGCTTGAGGGCCGAGATAATTGATGTGAGGAGGCCCTTCTTGTTCTCTGACTGGACTGAGTGCCTCAGGGTGAGAACCCTTTTCTTGTTCATTGTTTTCTTTCCGGGGTCCAGCACTGGGCTCCCCAACCAGGAGACATTCAATCAGTGTTAGCTGTTGAATGGAACTGATCTTTCCCAACAGATCCCAAACACTCCAGCAAAGAAAACATGAAGTGGCCTCCGAAGACCACACTGCCCCTTACATTTCCATCCGATAGCAATTTGACCCAGGCCAAAGGGTAGAGATTTGAGAGCTCACCAGAATGGTTTCACGCTTGGTCTTTCTCATGAGTCATTTAGGCTTGCACTTGCTGAGCACCTGCTTAAGTCCACAGCTCTGGAATCAGAGGTGAAGAAGCCACAGTCCCACCTTAGATGGGGTCCAAGATGAGGTCGATAGGTGGCACTTTTGTGCAAGACATTCTTCTGCTCTGATATCACCACCCTGTTAAGAGAATGCCTCTCTGGCCAGTTTTCTGCCTGAGTCTTTCACTTAAGAAGATGGATATGGGGGCTGGCCCAGTGGCCCAGCTGTTAAGTTTACACCTTCTGCTTCAGCGGCCCAGGTTTCGCCAGCTTGGTTCCCGGGTACAGGCTTACACACAGCTTGTCAAGCCATCTGTGGCAGGTGTTTCACAAATAAAGTAGAGGAAGATGGGCATGAATGTTAGCTCAGAGCCAGTCTTCCTCTGCAAAAAGAGGAGGATTGGTGGCGGATGTTAGCTCAGGGCTAATCTTCCTCAAAAAAAACAATTGAAAAAAAAGAAAAAAGAAGGTGGATATGAATTCTTCTTCTTGACTGTCACATTGTTTTACTCCTTACCTCCAAAGTTTGGCTCATGGATCCTGCCCTCTTCCTCTTTTCCTCCCTCTCCTCATGTCAAATGTTTGAGCGTTTTCCCTAAACACTATAATGCATTCAAACCATGTGGGAAGAAGCTTTCAGGACAACCAATTGTCTTTGTTTTTGCATAATCTAATCTCAAAATAAACAAACACATAGTCAGTGAGGTTGTGGGTAACTTTAATTTGCCCATTTTACAAAAGAGGAAACTGAGGATCAGAGGAGTTAAATGGTAGAGCTGGGATTTGTGTCCCTGTCTGTTTGATTCCAGAACTTAATCACTTACTCCACTGTGCTCACGAAATGCAGGAGGTGAGCACCAACTGTGGACCTTTCTCTTGAGGTCTGAGATCATGTGGCGTGGGTATGAATGAGTGTGGGAATGCAGGAATGACACAGCCTGGGGAGGCAGCTTGGGAAATGTGGCTGAGCTTTGCTCCTGGATCACCTGTGGGTTATTACCTCCAGACAGTCGAAGAAGAAGCTTTGATAAAGAATAACAACACCTGTAAGGACTTCCTCATCGAAGCCATGAAATACCATCTGCTCCCTCTGGATCAGAGGCTCTTGATTAAGAACCCAAGGACCAAGCCCAGGACTCCAGTCAGCTTGCCCAAGGTAAGGCCCAGCCCAGTCACTGCCAAGAGTCAGGACCGTGTCCTGGGAAAGTGGCCTTCCACTCCTGCCTCCAAGTCTTTCCTCGCCCGTGGCTGCCCTGCATCTTGGTTGTGTTTACCACTTAGGAGATGAAGTCTGCTGGTTCCTCTCGATCTGCTGGTACCTCTTTCTTCTGGGGTCTGTCTTTCTTAAGAGATTCAAGATAACCTCCAGTGTCACCAGAGAGGTTTGAGAATAACTCGGAGCTCTTCCATCTTCCCTCCTTCTTGTTTCACACCATGGTTTGGGCTCTGTTTCTATTGGAAGCAGAGGGTTAGTTGTGTGGGTCTTGACAGTGATGGCCATCATTGTCCTCTTTCTAGGCCATTATTTGAGTCTGAACAGTCCTAGTCTGGTTCCTTCCCTCACCACAGAGCCATAAAGGACAATCAGGGCTGCCAGAGGACAGAAGGGGCCTGAAAGTGTCTGACAGGTAATGAAGCAGGAGATGCAAACAGGGAAAATGAGACCTTGTGAGGGGGCAGGCAAGGGAAAGGAAGGATGCGCATAGGAGGGACTCCATGATGGAGATCTGTGCTGGGTACTGGCTGCTTTGGTTCCCTGCAAGTGCCCTGCCCTCTGGTCCTCAGGTCCCTCATCTGCAGAATGAAGGATGCTGCACTAGACGATCTCTAAAGTTCTTTCTGGCTTGGCATTCGAGTAGTCTTTCTAGGATCCTAACATACTGCTGTCTGGGGGAAGGTTCTAGTCAACCCAAGAGGAAAGGTGGGAGGAGAGGAGTAAGTTGTATTGCTCATCGACTGCACAGTTGGCAGCACTGGGGGTTATTTAGGCCCTTTCTTCGTTCACCACCTCCTCTTTTGGGCTGACTGCCATACTCCTCACCTGCTGCTTCCAGGAAGGGTTTCACAGGGCTTGAGAAGCAGGTTGTTGTCCGAGACCAGATGTTTGGACTCTCCAAGGTTTGCTGTTCCTTCTCTCTGCTCTGCTCTGTGACCCCGGGTCATGGAAAATGTAGTGGTTGTGATGTGAATGAAGGCTACGAACGTCCCACGTAATAATACAAGCAGCTGACATGTTTTGAATGCTGCTTATATGCCAAGGAGTGAGCTGAAGGTATCACGTTGCTTAATCCTCTCAACAACCCTAAAAGGTAGAGGCAGTTATCCCACTTCCACAAAGAAGAAACTAAGGGTTCAAGAGATTAAGAGACTTGCCCCAGGTCAACATAGCTGATGTGGTAGAAGCAGCATTTGAGTTGAGTATGTCTCACCCTCTAAACCTGTTCTCTGAACCCGTGCCATCCTGCGCCCTGCTTCACCTTTGTAAACCTGAGTGCGTGTACCTACCTGTCTGCCTCCTGTGGCCTCCTGCTGGTTAGCAGGGGCGGCCACGGGGCAAGGGCCTTGGTCTGACTGGCCATTTGCTTTACTGCGTGTGGATGCCTTTTGTTTTATTTTGTTGAAATATCGCATTGAAACGTCTTTGTATTTTTCAAAAAGAAAATAACTGAGAGTTTTTAAATTATAGAAATATGTGCTCATTGTAGATGATTAAAAGGATACTGGAATTTCAAAATAAAGTGAAAAATCACCTGAAATCTCTCCATCCAGGGACAGTCTCTGCTGTCATTTTGGTGAATTTTCTTCCAGACATATCTCTGTGCACTTATTCACAAATAGATAAATATGTATACTTTTAGATAAATCGAATCTTGCTACACAGATTAAAATCTTTTTTCCTCCTCCTCAGCCATATGCTACAGACCATTTCAATGTTACCAACATGGGTGAAATCAGCATTTACATTGTAATAGGTACATGGTATTTAAGTTTATTTATTTAACTGTCCTCTATTGATGGGCTTTGCAATAATTTCCATTTCTTAAGTATTATAAACATTTCTGTATCAAACATCTTTTAAAAGGCGCCATTTTGTTTTAGTTTGCACTTCTTTAATTGTGAGTGAGATTAATGTTGGTTTCATACGATTATTGGCGTTTGTGTTTTTGGAGGGGGAATTCGCTGTTCATGTCCTTTGCCCATTTTTCTGTTGGACTCGACTTTTTTTATCTAGGGTTTTTAAGGGCTCTTTTTAGGTTAAAGAGGTTAAGCCTTGGTATGTATTTAAAGTATTATTTTCTTGGTTTGCAGTTTGCCTCTAAACTTGTTTATCACATTTTTTTGAATCCCCCCAAATAATTTTTAAGTAGTTAATCTATTTTTTTCTTTATAGCTTAGGTTTTCATCATACTGAGAAATGTTTTCCTTGCTCTGAGATTAAAAAAAAAACCCAAACTCTCATGTTCTCTTCAAGTACCTTTATGATTTCTGTTTTACATTTGGATCGTTGATGCACTTAGAATTATTTGTTTTGGTGTAAGGAGTGAGGGTAGGAATCAGCTTTATTGGTCTTGCAGATCATGAGCCAGTTGCCCCAAAGTTATTTTAGTAAATAACCTCCCTCCCCCATCGATTTGAATGCCACCCATGGTCATGATCTAAATTCCACAAGCTTTGTGTCTTGAGAATACGGATTCTAAGGTGCACTGTGGTTGTATGTGGAGGCGGTTTTTATGTCGCGGGTTTCAGCTGGCCTTGTTGTGTGTCTTTGTGACTTTTCTCTTTAGAAACTGAGGCTCTCATCCGATGTGATATCAGGCTAATGCAGTCTTTTCCTGGGGAGTGTATTCTGGAGCCAAGGAAATAGTGCGGAGCTGGCCCAGTTTCTGTGTGTGGAGACCATACCCAGTGACCTCTCCTTTTCTAGACTCCACATCTAGCTTTTACCACGTTCACCCACAAAAAGAAAGTTCTAAAAATCAAAGCCAAGTTTGTGTCTGAGCTGGGACTAAGCATGCTGGGAAGCCCCCTGGGTATTGAGTCTGTAGTTAAGAAGAGCCCACCCCGTGTTTCAGGAGGCCAAAGTCGTCCCCCGTCACCTCTACTCCCTAGGGAACATTTATTTTCAGGATGAAAATGTTCATATCCCTGGACATGTAGCCTTCCACAGGCAACTGGAACCAGGACTTCCTTTGAATCTGTTGAAGGAATGGAAAAAAGGCACCTCTGCTCTTTGCCTCATTGTTCCCTTGTCTTTAATCCTTGAATGGCTTAAAGTTGTATGTACTGTCCCACCTGCTTTTCAAGCTCTATTCTTGTCACCATTGTTTGGGCACTTAAATTAAGGAGAGGATCTCCTACTGTGGGTTTGAGGAAGCGGATGTGCTGAGCAAATGATCGCGTTGAGGATTATCAGATTGTACATCATCTCAATAAATCGTCATGAAAATAGGTCAGGACTATCCGTATCCCTGCTTTACTGAGCTTACTCAGAGCTGTTAAGTAACTTGCCCAGTTACACGGCTAGTTAGGTGCAGAGCTGGGGTTTGAACCAAGGTCTGTTCCACTCCAGAGGCTGTGCTTTTTTTCTTACACCACACTGCCTCCCAGGAAACAGCTTTCAGGTTTTGGTGGCAGATAAAAAAAAAATCATTTTCTTTCTTTCTTTTTTTTGATCAGCAAAATCTCTTTTAATTAAAGCACTGTAACATCCCATTCATCTCATTAAGAGATGCATTTCCAATACATTTCCTTCCTTTTTTAATTTATTTTTTTAGAGCAGTTTTAGGTTCACAGCAGAATAAAGGGGAAGGTACAGAGATTTCCCATATACCTTCTGCCCTCACACATGCGTAGCTTTTTCCATTATCAACATCCCAGATTGTTTTCTTTTAAATTCAGATTTACTGAGGTATAGTAATTTATACACAGTAAAATTGCTCTTTTTAGGGATGCATTTGACGAACTTTGACAAATGCATATAGTCCTGTAACCACCATCCCAATCAAAATATAAAATGTTTTAATCACTCCAGAAAGTTCCCTTCTGCTGCTTTGTAGTCAAGCCCCTTTGTCTACCCCCAGCCCCTGGCAACTGTTGATCTGATTTCTGTCCGTACAGTTTTGTCTTTTCTGGAATGTCAAATAAATGGAATCATGCCTTTTGAGCTTGGCTTCTTTCTCCTAGCAGAATGCTTTTGAGATTCATCCACGTTGTTGCGTGTATCAGGAGTTCTTTCCTTTTTATTGCTAAGTAATGTTCCATTGTATGGGTATGCAGTAATTTCTTTATCCATTCACTAGTTGATGGACATTTGCATGTCCAATTTTTGGCTACAGATAAAGCTGCTCTGAACATTCACTTACAGATCTTTGTGTGGACATATGTTTTAATTTCTCTTGTGTAAATACCTATGAGTAGAATTTCTGGGTTGTATGGTAAGTACATATTTAAAAGAAATTGCAAACCTGTTTTTCAAAATGGCAGTACCATCATGCATTCCCACCAGCAATGTACGAGAGTTCCAGTTACTCCAGAGTTTCACCTACTTGTATTATCTATTTAAAAAAATTTTGGTTATTCTAATAGGTATGTGGTGCTATCTCAATGTGGTTTTAATTTTCATTTCTCCAGTGGTTAATGATAGCCAGCCCAGGTGGTCTAGTGGTTAAGATTTGGTGCTCTACCTTTGTGACCTGGGTTCATTTTCTGGTCAGGGAACCACACCTCCCGTCTGTAGATTGCCGTACTGTGGCAGCTGTGTGTTTCTGTGATGCTGAAAGCTTTGCCACTGGTATTTCCAATACTAGCAGGGTCACCCATGGTGGACAGGTTTCAGTGGAGCTTCCAGACTAAGACAGATTAGGAAGAAGGGCCTGACCACCTACTTACAAAAATATTGGCCATGAAAATCTTATGAATAGCAGCAGAGTGTTGTCTGACATAGTGCTGGAAAATGGGAGGATGGTACAAAAAAGAGTGGACAGGGTTCTGCTCTGCTTTACACAAGGTCTCTAGGAGTCAGGATCATCTTGATGGCGCTAACAACAACAATGACTAATGATACTGAACATCATTTCGTGTGCTTATTTGCCATCTTATTGCTTCTTTGATGAAGTGCCTGTTCAAAGCTTTTGGGTGTAGTGAGGATTACGTCCT